GGGCGGGGCAGCCCTGACGTCAGGGCCAGCCCCTGAGGCCCAGGGTGCTGGAGGAGCTCATGTGGGGTGGCCAGAGCAGATGGCAGGTTCGCTGCCACACCAGCCCCATTTGAAAGAGATCGTATGGCAGGCTGGCAGCCCCTTACCTGGAATGCCTCTCTCTGTTCCAGACTGTGACCAGGAGACGTTTCTGCTCATCCTCTTCTTGCACTGGGCTGTAACAAGCAGAGGAGACAGCCCATGAGCACCCATCTTCCCCAGGAGCACCCAGCAAGGGCTGCCCTCACAACCAGAGACCCCTTGCCCTCCTCAGAGCCAGGTCTTCTCCTCCATGCTCTGCACAGAGCACTGCAGCATCACCCCAGATGGCAACCTCCTCAAACAAGCCACTGTTGCACTAATTCATTCATTCCTGATGGATAATTGCAAAGGGATGTGACCTCTCCTGGGCAGGCATGGGGGACACCGCTCAGGTGGTTTAAGGGGAAGAATAAAAAAAGAAAGACACGCATCCAACATCAAAGGCTAAATGCAAGGAACAAGCCACAGTTCATGCTCTGAAACAAGCATCCAGTGCCAGATTAAAGGCTGCATGGGGACAGAGGTCTGACACAGACTGGTTAGCCAGCAATGACAAGCTCGACCAAAACACAACGAGCCATACAGCTCCTTTCTCATGCAGAGACATGCTGTAGCTATAGGAAATCCTTTTACCTTCCTCATTCATACCGATGCCCATACTATTGCAGGCGCAAGGTCGAGGAAATGGAGTGTGTTTGCCCAACTCCTGCCCAGCAAAAAAGTCCAATCGTGCGCGACCGCTGCTGCCATGCTGTGCGCTGACAGCTTTGTGAGCCTCCACAGAGCTCTGCCCAAAAGTTCAAGGCATTTCAGCTATAAAAACCAGCAGAATAATGTCTGTCACTCCTCATCTCTGCAGCAGACCTGCTCATGCATGATGCGTGTTTATTACAGATCGTAATGCAAAAGCAAACACAGGGTCTTGGCTTTGAGAGGGTGCCCCAGGACAGCTGCCACGTGGGTCCCCCGCTGCTCAGCGTGAACACGGAGGTAACGGATGGGTCAGAGCTACCTCTGTCCTGTCATACTCACAAAATAAAGTGCTCGTGGAAGATGGGATTTTTGTTGTCTGGCACAGTCTTCGTCTTTTGCCTGCATTTCCAGTCAGCATCTGGCACAATCGACATCTTTACAGAGGAAAACAAGCAGCGTGTTAGCACTCTCAAAGCACGCACTAGCACACAGTTGCCAGGTCCGCCACTACAGTGGCAGGGGGAAGGCACAACCCCCGACAAGGAATGG